TTGGTTACTGAAAAGGCAGTCAACAAACTGCTTAATGTACAAAGTTACCGGTAATTGCTCGAAGCATCAGTCTACAATCTAAGTTGTTTGGTTCGGGGTGCTGTAACAGAGCTTTTGTAGCATAATGATTAACAGGCCCGTAGCCAGGTTCTTCCAAGGGTGGGGGGTGGGGGTTTCTGGGCGTGAGGTACACGGTCGAAGCCCCGGTGGGGTCGGCGAAACCCCCAAAGCAAGAGGAGTTTTGTGCTTTATGGGTCTAAATAATGCTATAAAAGCAGATATGTTTGAAAAGGTCTTTGTTTGGGTGGGTCTGCAGTGCATTAGTTGGGTTGGAGGACTTATTTGGAAAATTTGAAGAGGGGAGTTCGCTAGAAAAAAGGGGGTTTGTTAGAAAAGGGGGTTCTCCCGAACCATACCCCCACCCCCTGGATACTGCCTGATTAACTGGAATTCTGTTTCTTGAAAGATGTAGGTGTAAGATTTAAACTACCATGATTTACTGTTTTTGTTTGCGAGCTTAATTGTATGGACATTTTATCTCAGGTTTGCAGGAACAGTACCAGTGTGTCGAATGTTTTTAACTGGTTTTGTCATCGGCACCTAACAACTCTTAATTCATTTTTCAGAACAAGGTCAACTTTTTTGTGAATTAAAACTGTGACTCCATGGAGCAGTGTATAACATGCACCAGAGTATTGCATGCTACAAGCACTGCTGGTGATGTTCAGACTGTTGTAGTATTCATCCCATTCAATCCCTGCTAACCTTAATAGGGTTTACATGAGACGGTGTCTTAATAACCATTGCATTGTTTTGTTAAAGAAGTGTTAGGATATGATCCAGTATGATGGCAAAAATGTCGTAGTACCTAATCTTGAGTCCCCCTGTTGACGAATCAATTGTTAACTGGACGATCAGATCAGATCTGAGAGTTTTTGGTTTGCTGAGGACAAGGTGATATTATGGAAAGTATGTGCAACATCAACTTAGGCAGATATGTTAACACCATTCAGTTAGTGGTTTCTACTGCATTGTCCATCAGGGGCGGATCCAGAGATGTCCAAAAGGGGGGGCCGAAATTTGGGTCGATCGAGACAACAATTTCCTAGGGGGTCCGGGGGCATGCCCCCGCGAAATTTTTGTGTTCTAGACGCCCGAAAATAACATTTGAGGCGTTCTGGGCTATCATTTTTTTCTTTTTCTTTCTTTTTTTCTTTCTTTTTTCTTTTTTTTTTACCTCCCAAAAAAATCCGCCCCTGTCCATTACAGATCTCATGAAGGAAAAGTCTGTCAAGTAATGGAAAATCTCAACAAACACTGCAAACTGGTAGACCTTTTTTCCACTCCGATATACAGTACTCCTAATTTCGGAGTCCTTTAGGATGTCACTTTTACACACCAACCAAACCAAAGGCAGTCAAGGAAGGCTGAGATGGTTTTACTCAGCTAAAATCGGTGTTTTGCACCCTGCTGTTAGTTTGAACTATAAATGTCAAATGGATCATTCTTGACAAAATTTTCAACAAATTATTCAAATGTAGCGGCTTTAAAATATTTTGTATAGCACCGCATCTTCAAGAGCAGGATTTGTGGGTCAAAATGTCAATCTAAGAAACATACATTGGTATCAGTTGAAAAATATATTTAAGCGGCCATTTTAAAATTCAAAATGGAGGCCCTAGAAGTGAATAAAAAAACTGGCACCCATTTGTTTCTTTATCAGTGAATTTTTTAGATATGTTTAGATATGTTTGCCAAGAATCTACCCAAAAAATTGACAAAGTTAAAAAATATGACATAAGACAACAGACTAAAGACTTCATTGATAAAATTGATATAATCGTTATTAGATAAATTAATCGAATGATTTAAGTCATGCAGTAATTGAGCTCTAAGATGATCATAAAAATTGCAATTTAAGAGAAAGTGCACCTCATCTTCTATGTCCTCCGTTTTGAAATGGCGACAAAATCTTATGAAGAAAGTCATTTTTTAGGGAGCGATTTTGTTAGAGGGCGAGTTTCTTAGAGAGCGAGTTTGTTAGGGGAAAGTTTCATATGGGCAAGTTTGTAGGGGTGACTGTATATAATCTGAGGTCGTAGAAGGACCTTCGACTTTTGTTTGGACATAACACATATGAAGTCACATTACATGTAGTGTGATGCCTTTAACTAATAAAATTTACCGAAATGTGTCGAATATCCATAGTTTCAAGGGGCTCACAGTTTAGGTTCAAAGGTCTCATAGAGTCAAAACCATCAAAGTTAAAGTTTATAACTGCTACAAATAGCAGTCTTGTCGTTGTAGCTAAGCCATTGGAGCATGTTCACCGTCTGTGTGTCGATGGATAGTGATTGTGACACCAAATGTCCAAGTTCAAGGTTCAAATTTTAAAAATTATTCAATTGAGCTCAAATTTACCAAGAATGATTGTTATTATTGATTTACAGGTGTAATTGGTGTAATTTTGCCCTAGGGCAAAATTACCTATACATGTTTCTCCTGACGCAAATCCAGTTATTGTCTATTATTCCATCACGACAATAACAATTACTATTATTGATTTAATTAACTATCTCATATAGAGATGTTCGTTGTGGTACTTGGATACATTAACTTACATTCTGCAGCAGACGTAACCTCCTCAATATCTGGTGTTCCGTAGACGTTCAAGTGCGAAGCTAACACTCTAAACGTATACTGTGTACATGGTACAATTCCTTCATTGATAAGAATTTCAGTGTCTGCTGTACTTCCTTGGAGATCTATTCCACCTGATAGCTCATAATGGTATATCACCTGCTCTTGGGTGTTACAGATAGCAGCATTCCATTTCATCGATAAAGACATTTCCCTAAGTACTGAATCTTCGGTAATAAATGGCACTGTCGAAAAACAGCAATGTTGAAATCAGAATTAGGTTAACATTGTTAGGCTTATTATTAAATATATACCGGTAAAAAATGTATAATAATATTAACAATGCTCAAATTGGAACATGATGTTATAATCGTACCAAGCATAGTCCTTCACCTAAAAGGTCCTTTTAGTCAGTTTTAGTTAGTTTAGTCAGCGGAATTCAAACCTGCAACCTATCGCTATCAAGGCGAGTCTCATACCCATTAGATCACGGAAACCTATAGGGTGTACGTGCAGATCTAACCCCAGGCACTTTCTTTCGTTCATCTGACTGAAAAAGCTCACATGTTATGAAACCCCCTTACCACCCTACACTTAAAATCTGAATTTTCATCAAAATTATTTAAAGTCTTCTATTCCTTGTAACATAATTAATTCTTCCAGAAAATTTCATTCAGATCAGTACAACAGATTTAGAGGATTTCTAGTGTGGGGAGTTTTCTTTATGGTCTCCACCTCCACACCCCACTCCGGATCGTCACCAAAGTAAAAGAAAAGGGCCTTTCCATTCAATGTCAGAAATCTTGAGGCTGCTAACAAACCAAAAAACAAAAAAATAAACAAAAAACAAAAACAAAAAAATTCCGATGAAAATATAACCTCCTTTGGGAAGGTAATAATACAGTATTACTGCTACTATATTTGACACTAATAGTAAGGCTTTAACCTGATGGTGCTGTTTGTACCACTACAAGCGTTCCCCAATCCCCAACAATCTCTTCGTTATTAACAGCTCTAGAGTCCACGTCATAAGCAACACATTCTGATAATCCCGATATCTTGACTTTTGTTTGAGAACCGCCTGTTGTGTTGACAATGCCATGTTCATTTCCATCTTTGCTTCGATATCGTACTTGATATCGAAGTATATCATCACATTGGATTTGTTCATGAGTATTAGAGACAGGCTATAAGTAGAATAGACGCGAAATGCTTAATATAATGTCTTTATTATTTTTAATTATTTATAAAATGTTTAATAAATCACGTATATTTCATTTGATTTGATTTTATTCGGCTTTCTATAAAACAACACGATATCATTTACATAATACAACATCCAATCTTAAATTATAATACGATCCATTCATAGACAATTAAAACATTAAAAACTCGAAAAAATGTACAAACAAAAATGAGAAAAACTACCAACATAAAGCATTTTTACAAAAAAAAAATATTATCCATTTACAATAAAACCCGGTGACCATAAACCTTAAAACAAAAAGAATCAACACAATGCATAAAGATAAACGTAGTGGTGGCTTGTCAGTTATCAGCGCGAAAACACACCAAAATCGAAATTAAGATTGTAATATTGAAATAGGCATACGCTTACCTTCAATGTTAGGATAATCTCATTACCATTCACTGTTTCCAATTCTATTTCTGGCTCTTCTAAAGGCTCTTTAAGAAAATAAATATTTCATTTACAATTATTGCGGTACATCACAAACATGGCCGTACAATAGGCCTAACGTGGAAATATGTGATAATTAGGGTACATGAACTATTAAAATGAATTAATGGAAAACATAAAATACAGTAGACACTTTCTTTATCAAACCTGCTTACTATCACAAATTATCGTTCATTAACTAACAGTTCATTAATGCACTCTCAGATTACCTGATAAATGTTAGCATTCTATTAATCGCACATTCCCCAAAAATTGTAACGACGTTTGCCTGTTTTTTTTTTTTTTTATCTCAGGAAAATATTAAAGCTTATCCTATCCACCAATATAGGTAAAAGTAAAGCCAAAACGTGAACCTTTACGCTCTAAGACTGGAGTACCCATATTTCTTTCCTAGCCATTTGGGCTGGAAGTGGGGGTGTTTGGGGGCCCACTCTTCTCGCACAACCATCCTGTTTACCTTCCCAGATGCCGGTTCCCATTTAGACACCTGGGTAGAGGGTGTCATGCCTAATGGCACAAATTACTTGCACCACGAACAACCAGCCTCAAGTCTGAGAGTCCGAGCCACAACCGTTGCACCATCCGCTTCTACTGTGCACAGCGTAATTGACATCGCGTCTAGACTTTTGCGACGACACATGTCTGATTTAGTGTAAATCAAGCAAAGAGAGACAAAAAGAGTACGGTATATAGTAAACCAAGCCGGAAGTATTGGTCTTAAAATAAATAAGAAAAAGACTAAAATAATGAAAACCATTCAAATGGACAAAAGAAATAGTCATTGAAGAAAACAAAATCCAACAAACTAACTTCATCTATTTGGAAAGCAATCTCAACAGCAACGGAAATATTGAAACAGAAATCCAAAGAAGAATCGGACTAGCAACAAATGCCTTCAAAATGTTAAGCAAGATTTGGAAAGCAAACATATCACGCTAAAGACGAAGGTAAAAATTTACTCAAGTAATGTCAGGTCAGTCCTGACAAGCAGTTGGAGAACAAACCAAAAGGTTGAATCAAGATTACGAGGTTTTTAAGGGAGATACCTGAGAAGGATCATAAACATTAGATGGCTAGACCGGATAACATACATTGGAAATTATGGGGAAAACCAAATTAATGACATAAACGAGAAGATTCAAAAGAGGAGGTGGGATTAGAAGCTCTATGAATTAAAGTTGTACTTAAAATACTAATATCAATGACCTTATTATAAATTTTTATAAATAAACAAAATGTAAATTATGATGATGATGATGATGATGATGATGATGATGATGATGATGATGATGATGATGATGATGATGATGATGATGATGATGATGATGAACATAAAAATGATGCTGATGAGAATGGTGGTGGTGGTGGTGTTGCTGATGATGATAATGATAATAATAATAACAGCATCAGCAAGTAAATTCCCTTACTTGTGCATATAGTCTCTGTTGATCCACGACCACTAGGTGGTCCATAAGTATCTTCGCCGCCAACTAATCTCGAGTGCTGTGTGTAGAATTCAACAGTCGTGTGTGGTAAGAGATTTTCTATGGTACATACACCGTTTTCAATGTTATCAACTGTAGTGAATGTACTTGTGGGTGATGTTCTGTACCATAACTTACATCCAGTAATATTTCCTGTTCCGAAGTCTTGAAATGGATCCCAGCTGCAGGCGTAAATCTTGAGGGTGGTTGCTGTTCGATTCAAAACTGTTGGCGGTTTGGAACTGTAAGGTAGTGCTAATAATAATAACATTTATTTTAAATACGGTAGGGTTTTAAATATACGTTGAATTTGTTATAGGTATTATGCGGCTTCATACGAAACCATAGTTCTCTTTAGTCGCCTAATTTTTGGAAATTGTTGCATTGCGATTAAAAGACTGTACAAAATCAAGATTTAAGCTCAAATTTACCTATGCTGCAGTCGGCTCCAGCCCATGCTTCATGGCATCCATTTCCACAGCTTCCATCACGATTACAATCAGTCGAGTCTTTACAATGGCATGGATAGTTACACAACACACCAAAGAAACCAGACGGACAAGACAGATCCGACAGTAATTCTACAAACAAATACAAAGAATCAATAATATTTTGATATAGTAAAAGTTAAATGGATATACAAAGTCATTTGAATTATTAAATTGTAATAAAATAACTTACCTTTCGGTATATCATGTGTAAGTATATGGTTTTGAGATAAAGCGACTGGTTGGTTGTCTCAACTTTTTCAATGGGATTGCTCTGACCGTCAGTGATTGTCAGAGCAATCACACCAATACTTCAAGACAATCAACTAGTGATCCAATTAATATTTATTAAAACAATTTACAGAAAACAGCTTGGTCATGGTGTGACCTCGATCGTATTGAGGTCGACGTCCACCCTCAGTTGTCCCGACCACTGATCATCTTCGGTTATCCCCCTTACCAGCAATGTATATGTACGTCATAAATGTGTGACAGTTTGTGTCTTCGTCGTCGCTGTTTAGAGTTTGGTGTTCTTTGCTTCTTATTTGAACTTTTGAAGATATAATAAAGACGTCTTGCAAACCATGCAATTGAGATTTTTTTGCTAAGATAGTTCGTTCTTACGAGAGACATGGTCTGTTATGGCTAATTTGTGTGTAGTACCGGTGTCCGAACATGTGTACTTCTTGTTCTGACATACTCTGTTTCTTTTAACATCTGTTTTGTGTTCTCGTAATGTGGTTTTGATTCCCTTCCTGTTTCTCTGTTTCCGAAACCCGTTTCGCCGAATTATTTTTTAGCGACCGGAAAATATGAAACCCAGTTTGCAAAATTTCGTAACACTATGCTACTATACTAAAACAGTATGTCGAATTTTCTATACACCTTCGTGTGTAGAAGTACAAAGGTGCCTATTGTATATTTGACAAGGAGATGGGGGAGGGGCGTAAGGTTTGAGAGGGAAGGGTACTCCGGAAAGAGCAAGCTGACAACAAGTGATACTGCGGTTTAATTTTAAAAACTTTAGTGCACAAAACTGGGTTCTTATATACACTAAACTAAATGAAGCACATCACTGCCAAATAGTAGACCAAAAGAACAGTGGAACAACAAGACAAACGTGTGATGTCTGAGGGTATTGATTAAAACTGAATAGAACGGTGGTAAAAGAATACAAAAGGGTCACAGGCATGGGACGCAGACCGGGGTGCATTATTGTTTCCCCATACAGTTAAGACAACAATTATAGAGGGCGCTTTTTAAGGTAATTTATGTGAACGGATAAAATGAATATGGTCGCTGCTTGTGGATTAAAGAGTAATATGAAAGCTACGGCGTATAGTATGGTTATATAGGCCAAAATCTCTGGTAGTCGGTCGAGTGTAGTTGACACAGTGAAAATTAATGGACTATTGCAATAATAATATCTCTTACGCCCGTATTCTTAAAACGAACTTTAGTCGAACTTCGAACTAGAACTTCATTTAGTCTTAGTTGCAACTTCAACTTCAAATTGTATTCACAAACAACGTAGTAGAAGTTCTAACTACTACTAAATCAAGTCCTAGTTGTAGTTCAGCTGAAGACGACTGGCAAGCAACAACTATCAAACTAACCAATAAAAAGAGCTAATTTTAATAGCAGACGAAATTTTAGAGATCCGGTAACGCGGAAGAATATTAAACTGCCGTCTGTCTTTCAAAAACATATTTCCTCATAATTCATAATTGCCCATTATTCGCCTAACTAATATTATATACTATTAACTATATTCGTCGTTAACATCAAACGATAGAGAATTTGAACTGTCACTAAAAATTTGCTTTCTTTAGAGAACTATTATAGTTGAGGTCGAGCGAGGGCGGCGCAATCTTTGTTGTTACGGTAAATCTACGTGAACGCAACGCGAGAGGATTTCGTGCAAATCAGGAACTGTTGCATGTGGCTAGCAAAACATGCTAATTTCGCCTTTTGGAAGCTAAACGTAATGCCCCTTTTCTTGAACACAGTGGAGATACATCAGACCTACTTATACAATCGCTTTTATTCATTTAACTTTATCGTAAGTTACAAAAAGCACGTTTTCATTGGGGTAAATATTTCAAGTCGGCGATTTAGCCTGACTAAAAAAATCGGCCTGCGGAGACATAATTTTAGGCGAGGTTCGCGTCATTTAGTCGTAGTGCTAGTCGAAGTTCGTTTTAAGAATACGAAATGACGTAATTTTTAAGTTTTAGCTAGAACTACGACTAAAGTTTGTTTTAAGAATAACGGGGTATGTCAGACACTGTTTACGTACAGGATATCTTTGAAATTATAAAAAGCAGCGTTGAATCTGGTATAGTACAAGTGTTATATATGATACTAATGAAGAATATAAACGTTTAAAAATGCTCAGACACTATGTATTGTTTTAATGTTGATTTTTCACAAACATTTTGTTCATATCCCACAATATATTAGATTTATATAGCAAGTATATATTATAAACATTAATTTTAACAAAAATGACGATATTATACACTGAGTAGATGACGTACAATGCTGTCTACCCTATTAAAAATTTATATAGCTCATTTAAAATGATCGAAATCAGATGGAAGTAAAAAATAGTTTTCACAGATTTACAGACGGTCGTACAAAATCCTTAAATTTTACCAACCATGCAGAAGAATACAGGAAATACGCTCACTGTCTGCATTGGCAGTGATTTTTTTTTTCATAACAATTTTCAATCGTAAAATTGTAAGTTAACTGTTAACTGTGTCCGAAGTACTCGTAATTTGTCTCCTAGAATTTCTAATTCTTATATCCTTTAGAATCAGTACTTACTATAGGGGCATACACTTGCTACTAACAATCATACTATAAACAACACATGTGACATGATGTCATATCTATGCCTATAACTATACTGCACTCAAACAGCCAGGTTCAATATTACTGTGCTTTCTTTTTATACTTACAAATTTTCACACTGTCCTGACTATCAAGGCCTATTTAAGAATCCATCCAAGCATAAGCATTGCAGCTTTAACTCGATGCACCACTGAACTCTGTTTTGTAAGGGGTGGGGACAGTGATGGCGCCAGGACCTGCCCGACGGAGGGGCCAAAGGCTCCGACGCGGGGGGGGGGGGATAGGGG